GCGGCAGCCGAGCGCACACACTAGGCCGGGGCCCGGGGCTCAGCCGGCCGACTCGGCGCGGCGGCGCAGAGAGAGAAGAGAGAGAGAGAGAGAGAGAGAGAGAGAGAGAGAGGAGAGAGAGAGAGAGAGAGAGAGAGGGCGAGAGAGAGAAGAGAGAGAGAGAGAGAGAGAGAGAGAGAGAGAGAGAGAGAGAGAGAAGAGAACGGAGAGAGGAGAGAGAGAACGAGAGGAGAGAGAGAGAACGAGGAGAGAGAGAGGAGGGAGAGAGAGGAGGGAGAGAGAGAAAGAGAGAGGGGGGAGGGGAGGGAGGAAAGGGGAGAGGGAAAGAGAGAGAGGGAGAGAGAGGAAGAGAGAGAGAGAGGGAGGGAGAGAGAGCGAGAGATAGGGAGAGAGAGAGAGAGAGGGGGGAGAGGAGGGAGGAAAGGGGAGAGGGAAAGAGAGAGAGAGAGGGAAGAGAGAGAGAGGGAGGAGAGGAAGGGAGAGAGAGGGAGAGAGAGGAAGAGCGAGGGGAGAGGGAGGGAGAGAGAAGGGGAGAGAAAGCATGACGGAATTCGAACCAGTGGCATGGCACTGGGGATTTGGTAAGATTTCGGGGACTCAAGGCCGCGTCCCTAAGAATGCTTTCTGTGCATCACGAGTCCATCTTGCATCATCGTCATACTCTTCACCGTAAATTAGGCATGTTCCAAGCCTATCGCGACGTGGTGGCCTGCTGGGCGCCTTCTGCTGCACTCAAGCAGTTGGCATGCACCTGTCTAAACTGGGTTTCTGCGTTGCCCAGAAATAAGTGAGGGGCATATTGGGCTGCGGGCTGGGTTCAGATTCGGGTGAAAGTAACTGCACAACTGTTAGGCGAGAGGTAGTGAAAGTGTGTTGGCAGAATGATATTCCGGCGGCATGCAATTGTCGGATTACAGGACTGTTTGAAAAACCACCAGTTCTTTCACATTTAGCGCTTTGTGTGCACCGTGTGAGATTTACCACAAGTTCAGACATGCCCAGACCGTGTCCAAACATGGCTGCTTCTTTGCTACGCCTGTAAACAGTTAGATGTGCCTGCTCGCTGGAGGGTTGTGAGACAGACAGCGCTTTGCTTCCAGCGTCTTGGACGTCATCGTGCGTCAGTGCATATGTCAGCAGTACATGCCACATGTGCGAAGATGCCCACCAATCTTCACTGCAATCAGGAGCCCAATTCGCATCACTGGCCTATTCGCTGGCGTGCTGCATAAGTTCCTACCCCCTCTGCGTCATCAGCATGGCCCGTTTCTGATGTCATTGGGTCATCACCTGTTCAGCGGGAGGACTGATGAGAGTTGGCCGCCGTCCTCGACTTGCTCCAGACAGGAGAGTCGCCGCTACAACAATGTACGCACACAGGCTGGTCAGCGTAGTGCTCAAGCTGTCCTGGTAGATACTTTCGGGCCTCCTGGATCTCGTCACAAAGTGTACTGATCGATGGAGTCTTGATTCGTCTTTTACCATGGCTTCACGTACTAAGGAGCTTGATTTCAAGATGGTTGACCAGGACACCTATGCATGCTTTGGGTCGAAAAACGGAAGAGGCACACGTCTATGACCAGGCATTTGTGAGCCTGAAGAGCAGACAGCAAACAGGTAAGAGTACGTTGTCCTGAAAACTAACAGCCTGCATGCATCGGTAGGTGGTGGAGGCCCTACCAAGTGCGTGCTGCTACCTCTGGGCGTGTAGGCTGTGGGCGAATTCAGTCACAGGCCCGTTGATATGCTGATCGGCTGTGATGCAGGTACCAGGTCGTGCTATGGGATCACCAGGAGCTGAGATACTGTGGCACCACCAGGAGCTGTCCCCAGTGCTCCGGCTTGTCAAAGCGGTGTTTGGCACGGCCCACATGCTCTGCAGCAGGTTCAAATGGAGCTGGAAGTGGAATAAATGCCCCATGGGAATGTAGATTTGGGGGCCATTTGCGGTGCCCCAGAAAATTGGTGCCTTTTGAAAAACAAAGATCATGTTGATCCCAAATGAGGATTTTGATGTCCTTGCGGTTCAGGGGAAGCATGGTCTTAGGTCCTCTCCTCCATACTTATCTCTGGATCCATCCCTTTAGGTAATCCAGATGTTTCCGAATGTTTAAAATCGAGCGAAATGCTTGTTTTCTGCCAAAATAGAGTGCTTCTTTATTTGAGAACATGTTTTTGTAACCTGCTTTTGAACTGAAGTTAACTGACCTGGGTCTGATTTACCTATGTCGATTTGGTATGTCAACAACGGTACTTTACAGGTCATGCACTGCTGGTCCTCTCACAGGGTGACCGAGGTGTGCTGGTCCCAGCCGTCCCATGATCTCACTCAGCTGTGCTGGTCCCAGCCGTGCCATCATTCTCACTCAGCTGTGCTGGCCCCGGCCGCCCCATCGCCTCACTCAGCTATGCTGGTCCCAACCGTGCCATCATCTCACTCAGCTGTGCTGGTCCCAGCCGTGCCATCATCTCACTCAGCTGTGCTGGCCCCGGCCGCCCCCCCCCCCCCCTCACCTGACTCAGCTGTGATAGAGGCGGCGGTCTCGTCGTGCGACTGAGCTGCAGGCCCCAACGGTCCCGTTATTTGCTCTGAATACAGCGCTGCTTCACCGACGGACACCTGAGCCGTACAGGTTGCAGCGGTCACATGTCACCGAGCGGCTGCTCTCTCGTCGTGTGACTGAGCTGCAGGCCCCAGCGGTCCCGTTATTTGCTCTGAATACAGCGCTGCTTCACCGACGGACACCTGAGCCGTACAGGTTGCAGCGGTCACGTGTCACCGAGCGGCTGCTCTCTCGTCGCGCGACCGAGCTGCGCTGAAGTCGGGGGCCTCGTCAGCTGACTGAGCTGCAGTGGCCGCGGCCGTTCCGTCATCTGATCTGACACCTCGGAGGCGGTGGTTTCGCGTGACCGAGGTGCGGCGATTTCGTAGGGCGACTGCGCTGCGCTGAACATAGCTCTAGTGTAACCAAGCTGCAGCAATGTTCTTGTTTCACCAAGCGGCGTGCAGGCGTCCCGTTCCGCACCCGCACCGGAGGTGGCCGTCTCGTGTTTCCAATCCGCGAGGATCCCGTGCGAGTGGGCTGTGCTCGCCGCGGCGACCCCGTCGTCTGGTGGTTTTTGACGTGAACTGGAGCAGGTAGGCCGCCGAAGTTTCTCAGATGATCTTTGACCAAGGTGTCAGCTCGCACATATGAGGACGGCTCCAGCATTATACCCATCATACCCATCTGAGCTGCCTGCTAAACTGTGTTCATTTTTTCTATCTTCGGTATTGTGCTAGCGGGCTGATAGAGTCACGATTTGAGTGACAGCAAAAAGCTCGCATTTTTATTATGAGGCCCTGGTTGGTCACTTAGACTGGTCAGTGACCAGTCTCAGGTGTGTGAGCAGACGCTAGGGACAGTAAACCCGGCCACTAAATCTCGTTAGGTCTAGTGGAGAGGGTCAAGTTGGAATTCCAGCCAGATTTGTCATTCTCATCTCGGTTGTTTATGTTTGATGATACTGCCCGCTTATACACACACCAAATCTACGAAACCTGAGGCCTATATCTGACCAACCAGGAAATCTTAAAAATCACACGAAAGCTTGGAGCCCAACACTTGAACTTTGAATTCAAGTGTGTGCAAAGTGTATCTGATCTGATTCCTGACGTAAATTTTATGAGGCGCCCGGTAATGCTAAAGTCGTCAACATGACAGGAAGCCTACACATTTTGAACATCATACGCAATTTTCACATCACCGAGCTTCCACAAGCAAGGGACGCGAGATCTGGGGAGGGAGTTGGGCAGGGGCCTGGTCCACCAACTTCCTGGAAATTCGGCATAAGTATTTTGGGGTCTGACCGTTATGAAACAACCAAAAATATCCCTTTGAGTGCAGATATGCACTCTAGATACTAGATAATTTCGCAGTACACGGAGACAACCGCCCCTTGCCAGTTGCCAAGGGGGGCAAACACCCCTTTTCCTTCTTTTCTCCGTAATGTGCGCCAATTTGCTCCTGAACCCATCCCTGAAGTTGTTCAATTTGATCATCTTCCTATGACCCTGCCCGCCAGTTTACCTACAGCAGAATGTAGTTTCAGCGCGTGACAGGGGCGCCCAGCCGACTGCGCTTAGTGTTGGCACTGGGGATGATCAATGCGGTTCGTTTACGTGCGTGGCCTTTGCCTGGATAGAGTGGATCAAGCTCATTCTGTGGTGACTTGTCAGTCCACGCGCATCATGTCTGAGAATGTTTGGCTGCGCTTAGGGCAGCGCCATAAAGGGTGGGTGGTGCAGGTCTGAAGTAGTATGTGATCCCTGTGACCCCGAAGCCGCGTCTCGTTGGGATAGTTTTATCTCGACCGTAATAAATGACCAGATTTCCCCGCGGTTATTATTTTTCCACAAGCAAACAAAACACTGTTAACATCAGGCGTACAGGCCAGAGCGTCGCTGCCAGGTAAAAATGAACATCTCCCTGCGAAGCTATTGCCACTGTTCATGAAGCAGTTTTACCCTCATACATTGTATGACCAATTGGTCCAGATTATAAGTGTCCCTGCGATGAGAGAAGCCTACGAAAACCGCGATAAGATTTTTTCCGCCAGTATGGGTCGCCGGACATCCTTCCACCATATGAGGGAGAAGGGATGACAGGCATTTTAATAATTTGTTTCCAGCCGACGTTCACAAGGCCAAAGTTCATTTCCGATCAGTTATGGATCTCAGCCCTAGCCCCATCCCTGGTTTCCGTGCCCCGTGCTTTGCGGTGGTGCAGCGTAAGGCACGCAGGACTTTGCAGAGCAATGATCGCTTACGCGAACGTCAGTTATTAAACGCACGATTTTCTCACCCACTTTTATTCAAGCACCGTTGTGACGGCATCATGCCCTCTTCCCACTATCAAAGTTGATGGCGACACCCTTGCAAGGGAATAAGCTGTCTCAAACTTGCACAGCAGCTGTCTCAAGCTTAAACACGAGGGTGCGATGGTCACGCGTTGTCCAGCAAACAGCGACTTATGACGGCTGTGTTCCGGCTTGTTCCGTGCGCGTATGTGTCACTTCATCTTGTTGTGTACCCAGTCCACATACGTGCTGACTCGGTTGAAAATACTCAGAGAGTTTGCGGTGACTTTGCAATACGTCGCGGTCCCTCCCGAAACGACTCCGACCAGCTGATACCGACCATCGGAGCGGAGATGCACCATTGGACCGCCAGAGTCACCCTGCGGATAGGAACAGAAATACAGATTCAGTTAATGGATAACGTGTGGCGTTAGTCATGGCAGAAATGCCGACAGGTTTTATAGCATAGGTGAAAAAACGCGTGTTCATAAATACGCACACCCACTGTTAAGAAGCAATATGCGTAAGGCATGAAGCTTGCATGGAATAATTACGATAGGAGTAGTTCGTAAGCAGGAGTTGAACCAAATCAAAAATTTCGCTTTGCCCCACGCTGCAGCGGCTTGTGGCCATTATGTATTGCCGACTTTCTTTTTTTTAATTTTTGAAGGCCAGTGCCATGCCACATCTGGTGTCAAGGGGAACCTCAGTAAACAAATGTAACGCTGCTTACCGTCTCGCGTCACACGTAGCCAACGAAAACGTGCACTATTTGTTCAACACGGTGGACGTAAAGTTCGCAAGTGGCCAAAAGTCGGTAAAAGGCGTGTCAGGACCGGGTACGTGGCTCAACCGGGGCGACAGCGCAAGGAAACCTTTGCATTTCGACTTGTCTTGGAACGGTCAATCACACCGGTTGCGGCGCGGGTCATCTGGTGAGACGGCGCAAGTGCGCTCGTGCTCAAGCGACCCATTCGGCGTTGTTTTTTTTTTTTTGCGTTTTTAGGACTCATGTCAGATGTCGAGAGTTCAACCAGATACCGTATGGGACCAGCCGCATGATGTAAGCGCATGTGCTGTCTACATATCACCCACGCTACCCAATACTGTACAACTTAGGGCAACGCCAGCAGTGGTGTCAATTTTTAAAATCGGTTGGCGTGAGGGGGCTGAGCCGATAAATTTGGCTTGACAGACACCAATCCTTATTTCTCTTCGGATTTTGGTCACTTCATTTGTATCGCCGACGTCAAAATAAAAGCTTTCAATGTGTGTTCAATTCCCAACCTACAGCGAAACGTCAACTTTGAGATGTGTTCTGCACATGGTCACGCTGCCAGCGTCAACGTGTACAGACAAATACAAAGCTTTAAGTTTCGTTTAGCTGGGATGGCCTGTTGCAATATGGTCTGGTCTGTTGAAATTTGTTTTCATTTCCGCAATTTTCTCACCAGCTGGCTTGCAACAGTGACAGCTTTTATGATGTGATCGCTCACATCCGGTACATCAGAAAACGTTTCTTATCCCTGGGAACTGCAAGCGGCCAACAGGCAGAGGACAAACACACTGTTCACGTCCCCTCACAGTGCGCTTGAGCCTAAAATTAACTTTTAAAAAGGCTGCGACATGTACACAGTATCATTTGTTAATAACTGCATTCATCTTGTAGATCCTTGACCTTTATATAGTCCGTGTTCATCTGACAGCAAATGCCACCGCCCCTGAACGCGAATGCACTTCTCCTGATTCCAAAATGACCTACACGTGCTATGGCTGCTAGCGTTTTGCAAATGGCACATGCATCCGCTGAGGGCGGGGACGGAGGCCCGCGTCTCTAGCTCCCACACTGGCCCTGAGGTCCCGGACTGACTCTGATGACCTGTGACCTGACTCTCACGCCGCGATTGTGACGGGAGGATATCTGTAACGGATTGCTGAAGCAACATATGTGCATTCGCGTAAAGTCGTGCAGAACGACTGTTCACATGAGTTAGGTTCTTGGAAATTCAGGTGATGAGAATGAAAACAACATATAGAGCTGTGTTTGAAAACGCAGTTTTTTCTCCTTTTTTAATGAATACCACACGGTGTTCCGTTGAGCACACTTTTGATGTCTAGCCTAATAAACAGCATATAGGATTTTTCAGGTGTGCCTTACATCAAACCTAATATCATCACCAAAAATCATCGTCCGGCTGCAACGGGACCTGTTTGGTTAGATTTGATCAGGTTTCCTTCCTTGAACCCTTCTTCCGTTTTTCATCGTGATTGAAAAGTCCATATTATCTCTCTCGTATCGTCTCATGACCAAGAACAGCAGCCAAAATGAGCAACTGAGAGTAAACCGTGGAACGTTAGGACGAATGAGCATACATTAATATTTTCGCTCTAAAGATGAGAGGATTCATAGGGAGATTACATGCCCCTTCTTAAGCGAATCAAAAGGAGGTATAATGAAGAAATGCACACCGAAAAAGTCCTACGAAGAATCGCGCGCACAAGGCAACGCAAGGCAGGGGACCTGGTTTTCAAAGCGACGTGACATGAATAAATGGCGTTGGCGAAAGAAAGATGATGCGAAAAATGCCCGTTCAAATAAATGCGATGCAGTGTCTGCGGACACAAAGATTTTGCGCGCTGCAAGCAGTGTGGATACCAATATTTGTGCAGGAGGATTCGCAGGCGGAGGTTTGCGTAGGGCGATTTCAGCACGATTTGTTGCGTGAGAAAGTACTGCGATACAAGGATCTGCGTTTACACTTTTCACACCAAAACGTAAAACTAGGTGTGTGTGCAAATTTGGTAATATAACGGAATTCAAGAGAACCGATCATGTGAAAATATTCCTTTTATGAGCTCGCACAGGTCAGGAAAACTTAAAATCACCTTCCAGCTCTTCTATAATGAAACAGGTTGCAACTGCGTATGAACTTTTAGCAACCTTAGACGGGGTACGGACAAGTTTTGCACGGTTACACAGCGTGCTGTCATACCTTGCACACATCTCTGTCGGACAGTTTTGTTGCCGTACATAGCTTGGTGTTCTGAAGCCCGTTTGGATATACTTCTCGATTTGGGTCGATGACAGCCTCGCACTTTTTCATGGTGATCGCAGGCAGGCTGATTTCTTGTAAGACTTGGCTGGGTGTGGCTGACAACACAAAGGTGGATGTTTACGGTTTCAGGAATTCACAGTGCATTGGGAGTGTATTTTTACGCGGGATTGTACTTCAATAATTATACTGGGTCATGCCACGTTGGCGTAATTATATCTGTTTAGCAAAACGTGTGTAGCATTACTAGCTTTTTGTCGATACATTTTATTTATTTCGCGCACATTTAGCCGATTGCAGGACATCGCTTGTGAAGGCTGATTGGTAAAAAGATATTACTCGAGGCTGATGATACTTCCTACTTTGCGATTCTTGATTTAAACTTCGTTTACAAATGAGCTTGCCAAAGTTGCAGCGACGACTGGATGTTTTCTGTTAGTGCTCATTGTCAGACAACGACTGAACAGTCGTTTTACCCTTTCGGTTTCCATAATGGTACATACCTACGTATGTTTCAGAGAGAGAGAGAAAGAGAGAGAGAGAGAGAGAGATGGATGCGAGCGGGGGGGGGGTCTAAGAATAGGAATAGTCTACTGTCTGAATATAGCTGGGAACACCATGCTGCGCAACCACCGCAACAAATGTTATAAATAAATAAATAAGTTTGAAATAAGCAAACATTTTTGCTTTCAGCTCGCATTTCAAGGTACGAAATATGCCTATTAAGGCCAATGTAAGATGGGGCACTACCTTCAACACTGCGATGACAGCTTTCAACTGCAAATGACAAGAATGAGGACGAAATTCGAGTAAGCCTCTAATCGAACATGTACCAGAATGTTTTACCGTTGGGCCTGCATCTCAGTAAACACACGCCACGGTCTTGTGAAAATTGCCTGTACCAGCTGATACCTTTGCCGCTGCCAGAGTAAGAAAATACAGAATATTCTTTAAGTCATGGATATACTTTTTTTAGTTCATGTCAGTCGCCGAAATGCTATTTTTCGTGTTCAAGAACCAAACGCGAGCTCTTGAATGGTGTTCGCTGTCTTTATGTGGATACATCATGCAACAGCATGCCATAAATGTCGACATGACACCTTTCAAATGATCCACATTTTTTTCGTTACCACTATCCACCTTACAACCCACAGCCATCATTGCGCCGTTTGTGTGATACCGTGTATAGTCAAGGGTATAGCGGTAGCAGTTTGTCTAAGAATCTTCGGTACTCAAGTGACAGTGCGGCAATTGGCACCGCCACCAAAAAACCGTGAGATATTGCTAGCACGAATCATCCGTAAGAGCCCCACTTGCATCCGGTGGTAACTTGCCTATTCTTCAGGCATAATTCGACAATTCCTCATGACTACCAAGCGTTATTTCACTTTTCGACAGCTGTTGTGCATTTGATTGCCCCATTTACCTATGGGTTGTATTGACATGTCATCAAAGCACTGGGCAAGATGATGAGCACACCCGTTTTCCCGCATTTTGTTGTTAATCAATGACATGTGATTATAGGGTGTCGTTTGTGTATTACATACAGAAAGCTTCAAGTGCACCTTCAACCCTCACCAGTGGGACCCTGATGCGCAGCACACGTTACCCTCACCCCATAGGGGCTCAGCGCCGCAAGTGCACGTCACCCTCACCATAGGGGCCAGTGCGCAGTGCACGTCACGTTCACACATAGGGGCCCAGTGCGCAGTGCACGTCACGTTTCCCCATAGGGGCCAGGGCACTGTGAAGCTGTTTTTCCTCTAAAATCCATTTCACTGCCGCACACTGATATCAGGCCAAGCTTAGACACTTTGATTGTCAATCACTGTTTTTTTTTTCGGCGGGATCTTTGCTTCAATGCTGTTGAATTATATAACCTGGCTTGCTGATATATATATATATATATATATATATATATATATATATAAAGCATCTGGCGACATCTTTATATATGTCATTGTTTGTATATTGATATATATATATATATATATATATATATATATACATATATATATATATATGTATATATATATATATTTATATACATATATATATTATATTTCGGGCAGACACCATCAGTTATGCGCAGACGCGCACCGTGGCGGCATAGGCCTAAGCGCCCATTTTCCAAGCACCAAGCAGGGACAAAGCCGGGGCCAGCGATGTACATTGTTCGTGGCCCCGCAGCGCCTAACAGGGGCCCTGTGTTGTCAAGGATCCCCGAATCGGCCAGAGGGCAGCGTCCGAAGAGGCCCCTAAGAGCGTAGAGGGCCCCACCGGGTCCGACGATAAAGGACCCGATTGGAGGGTCTAAAGGCATAAAAGGCTGGTCGGAGTCGTATTCCGGGGACCCGACCCTGCGAAGATGGACCCTCAACTAGCGGTCAGAGGGCCCTTTGCGACAATCGGAAACCCCTCTGAGCCGATATGGGGCTATATGTCGGGCAGATACTACCGGACCCACATAGTCGGCTCCGTGGCGGTATGGGCCTGAGGACCCCACTTCTCAACAAGCTATAAAACACCGGGGCCAGTGACCATACTGGTCTGGGGCCTTGTACCCTATCAGAGGCCTTCAGCGCCTAACAGAGTGTCCAGTGCTCGCAAGGACCCCGAGGCGAACCAGGGAAGTGCTCGATGAGGCCCGAAGAGGGCCCGGGTGGCCCACTGGAGTCGGCGACCAAAGGCCCGGCTGGAGGGATAAGATCCCGAAGGACTGGCTCTAGGTCACAAAAAGAATCGCGGTCCTGAGGGTCCTGATCTCAAATATCAGTCAGTACTCCTCTTGCACCGATGAGGAACCCCAGAGACAATGCAGGTGTCTTGGTCGGTCAGAGACCAAGTTCGCCTAACAGTCGGCTTTATGTCCGTCTGGGCTCTTGAGACTCATTTCCCGAGCAGAAACCGAGGCCGGGTTCCTCGATTTTCAATGTTCTCGGTCCCTGGCACAACGAGGAGCATCTCATATCGGTTAGGGCCACATTGTCGAACAGGGATCCTGTGGCGGCAGTGACCCGAATCGGAAAAGTGTCTGAGGGGGCCCGAAGAGGGGACCGAAAGGTTTACTCGGGACCAAAGACAAGGGCCCGTTGGGATGGCTGGAGGATCCGAGGGGCTGGTTGTAGGTTATATTAAGGCCCCCGCCCATATGGCCATGATCTCAAATGTCAGTAAAATGATCCCTTGCACCGATAGAGAGCCTTGACGCGGAACGTTCCTCTATTTCGGCCAGAGATCACGAGCAGTGAACTCAGTGTCTAAAAGGGCATTGTGGTCACTCTGTGTCAACAAGGGACCTCGAATCCATCAGGGGAAGGTTTGCTTAACAGGGTGGGGACGGTAGCCAAATCGCGAAGGGTCTCTAGCATTGGTCGGGACCCTATAACAATTGAAGGAGACATAAGAGCTTATGATGAGTGCTCGCAATGAGGTAGTAGAAGAGTATTGTGCCAGTCAGGGCCCTCAGTGCTTAACAGTGAGCCTTACATTCCTATGTCAGCATGGGCCTGTGAAGCCCAAATGGAGTATCTGTGCCAATTATTTGCCCACCTGCGGCGAGAAGAGGATGTTGCGTTACTGACGGTTCACGCGTCCATCCGGGGCCAACTGCGCGGGTCAGAAGGCCTCCTGCACCAGGGAGCAGACCAATAAGATGTGATGTATTCCTCCAAGGGCCTCCGGATCGGCCAGGGCATCCCGCCCCGTGTCGCTAGAATGATGGCCGGAAAATACACCGCGGTGGGACAAAATGGCCCTTCAGCCCTTGACTGGGAACAACAATGCGCCCGGTAGTGTTGTACTCAAGGGGCCCCTTTACCGGAAATAAGGGGTCTGATTACTGTTAAACGAAGTGGGTCGAAAGACTTCAGAACGCACAAGGCTATCCAGTCTTTCTCTGAGAACGTTCATTATTTTGCAGATCCACTAATGAAAAATGCCATCAAAAGGCGTGAGCCTTGTTGCCGGGTGCCGATGGTGTGGGGTTAACGCGCCTGCGTTAACCGCTGTGCGTATGGGAAACCACAGTGGACGGGGTTAGATCCCCGGGGTGCCTGCCCTTCCGCTAAGGTGAGAGGGCTGGCGGCGCCATATAGCCACAGCGGCTGATTGCGTCACAAAGCCTAAATGACACGCCCATAATCTCGGGAGCAAGGATATCGACGCCTTCGGTCGCACTGTTCGTAAAACCGAAAAGACGTTGACACTGCAAGTTCATTTAGGAGGCGGGTGCAAAGCACGGAACAGTAACCATCGTAAAATATTGGCTTCTGAATGTCTTTCAAAACTAATTCGCCACAGTTCAAAACCGAATTTTTTTACAACATATTTTTTTCAACTATTTGCCAATTTCTAAAACTTTTACAACTGGGCGAATCTTGTTTTTTTTAAACTTGAGGTTGTCCTCTGGACAGATTTACAGTAACAGCAACAAGGAAAATAGAGATTTTACCTTTACTCTTCCAGCTCCACCACTAGATTCCAGCACCGCTTCGCGGTGCTGTAAAGACCAATTCGTTATTGTCATCAGTCTAAAAACCGCACAGGTGAAATATACGCTCGAAGTATCTCTAAATGTAGGATGTCCTGCGGCGTTCGAAGGCAGTTCTTTAAGATGCACTACCATTTTCGCTTACCTGTTGGCCACTGCCTAGTGTTAGCCGCGGGGCCGACACTAGCGCGGCCTAAGGAGACTGCAAACGTCTGGCGGTAAGCTTATTGGCAACCAAGATTATGCGAGCGCTCATGCTCAAAACTACGTGACATTCTTTGTACCACTAACAAAATTATGAATGAATTTTGAACACATCCAGATATACATGGTTTTCGCAAAGTCCTTGCTATCTCTGTGCAGCACAGATAAAAAATTCTGACGAAGTTTCTGAATTACATCGGTTTTAAGAGTTCACGGAACCATTCAGGGGTGATAAAAGTGTACTTTTGTCGCCGATCGAATTTTAAGAGGCAAAATTTTCGCCAGCAGCGTAATGCGAAATCATATGATACCAAATTGTAATAAAGTTCATGCCAAGTAGCGTCATTCAGGAATAAGCATACAACCGAAAGCTTATTTCATCAACACATTTTTCAGTATCATGCACACAACCAAAAACGCTCCATTTTAACAGTGCCCTTCAACTTATGTCAGAATAACTACTGTCGATAGGAAAGCAGGCGCACCTGACCTAAACTATGGGACAGCGAAATCACAACAGCAGCAGTCTTTTTTCGCACTCGGAACTTAAACGGGGCTTTACGTTTTAAGCTTGAACTACAGCTGGCTTTGCTTTCCACGCCCGGAAAAAAATGACTGGGGCGTCGATAGCTAGAGCAGCAGACACATGGGCAGAGTTCAAACTGGTAGCAGGCAGCACTGGGGATAACGTCCAATATGCAGGGCCTCCTCGAGGCCATGCTCCCTGGTGAAAATCACGGTGTGCATTCAAGCTACATCCCTACCGTCAGCAAACTATCCACCGTACCTTACGCGTACCCCGGCCGGGCGCGGACATGTGTTTGCCTGGTGGGCGCCTTTCGCCGTGCCCCAAAAAAGCAACTTGCATTTAAATCGGTCGGGAACTTCACATCGGGCTGTTAGTTCTTTCCGAACAACATAGTCGCCCTGACAAGAGGGGGAAAGGGGGGAGCGATGCGACGCCCCTCCCCCGCCCCTCCTAATGACTTCTAAGGATATCAGTCCTGCATATTGTGAAGTCTCGCCCAAATCTTTGGTAACCTCTGGGGCATCCATTGCGCGTGTGTTGACACCAAAAAATGTGTTCTCGCAATTCCGGTTGCCGAGTAGCGGCGTCTTTTTTACGGGCACGGCAAGACGATCCAAGACCAAAACCAGGTGGACGGCAAGCGACGATTTTGGGGATCACGCGTGGCGGGCCAGCACTGCTACACTAACGAAGCCCTACAGTATAGACAAAGCCTCGAAAGAGATAAAACTACGTACGACTGTACCCCTAATCAAACAAGAAATGCGCCTCCTTCATGTTCGATGTCCCTACGCCGCATGTTTTCGTGCATATGAACATGCAAAGCTGAAATAATTTGATTTTCAGAAGAATTTGGCCTTATACTTGGCCAAGCAGGGTCGATTAACAGCAGGAAACTTCTTACCAATCTCAAGATCTTGTTAATAACATCGCATTGTTTTTTTTCTACGAGGCTCTACCTTTTTTAGTTTGCAGACCGCAGGACATTACCTCCCCCCATCAATCCGTATTATGAAAACCAGCGAAGCAGGGTAAGGGTAAAAATTGTTGGCACCCTCCTTTCTTGTTTATTTTTCACACAATTGTGTAAAAACATGCATTTTAGATAATGGAAACATTAGCTGGTAGAGTAGAATGATACTTTTCGTTACCAACATCTAAACATTAATAGAAATTCAATTAGCAAGCCAAAATTGCCCTTTGCACGCCAGGTAGCAGGTCAATGCAAGATTAGCTGTGATACCGACCATGCAGGAGTGTTAATTCAAACCAATGCCTGGGGCCCCTACTTGCGTCCTTGTTGGGTTGAGCCCCTCGGTGCTGATTTCTCCTCCCCCAACACTTTAAGCTGGAAGAATACAAAAGGAATGAGAACAAATGCTAACTATCACCCAAAACCATCTCCTTCGGGCTTGATTAACTGACCATGACCAATGAGCTGGGGTTATTTCTATTATCCATGTAGACTGCATATAAGATAAGCTGTCTGCCTTCACGACCTGCACTTAATGTATGCAGTGATTACGTTAAGGGCTCCATCATGACAATTTTTCAATTCAATGTTAGCAAAAACAGTAACGAGATATACCACATTTGCATCCATTCAAATGTCATGCCCACAAGCACAAAGAAACTATGTATAGATAAACTAGACTAGTATAGACATGAGTATGCATATATACACGTAATATCTAAGAGAAATGGTCTCAACAAACGGGCCCACATCCGGCGATTTTTTGTTCAGGGTCCTACTATCAGGGGCCCTTCGTCAACCCTATACCTCCTCCCTTGCCAAAGCTCTGTCTGTACCCCTGTAAGAGGGGCTTCAGGAACTTGAAAGAGTGCGACGTATTTTTTATTTTTACCAGCTCAATAAAATATTGGCGCACCAGATGCTTTGTCATGTCCTGCAGTGGGTACTCGGATTTTCATTGACGTGCATGTCCGCAGCAAACGCGTACCGAGCGTGAGTCATTTCCAATGTGCAAACCATGTATTGCACGTGTGCGGGCGGACTCAGGCATCCAAGTCTAGACAGCGGTTTTGTTTGGTGGCAAAGAGGTGGGAAAAAGAGCTGGTGACCGGAGGTGATTTATGTCGGCTCGTCTCAAGCATAAAATGTGAGCTATCTCAAGCCGTATAAGAGAGGTAAAATCATCCGGTGAAAAATGTGCAGGCTTTTTGGATCAGTCAAGTTGTCATTTTTACGAGGAAACAATGGCATATACACTTGAGAATGGATAGCCTCACTCATAAATACATGGCATGGAAAGAATATCAAGAACAACGTTGTCCATAACCAATACGCACCACCGGAAATGTCACGTTCTAGAAATGGTCGGCCTAGCCTGCCCACCAAAATCTGATTTCTACCCGGATTTCGGCCAATTGAGTTCGCGTCGAAATGTTAGAATTCAAACAAGCACTTTTAATATGTTGCCGATAATTTTTACCATGCTATTGTTAGAAATGTGTCATACTCCATGCTTAAAATACACACGGTTTGATCTTGGACGTGCTCAGCCATGGCACTCAGCACGATTGAAGGTGATAACCTGGTTTATTGACGGTGGTAGATAAACAACTGACGACGACTATAGCTCTCAATATAGCACTGGCTATGACGATCGGATGTGTTGGTATGCCCTTACTTCCAACGTAGTAAACCCCA